GGATGCTGCAGCTGGTGGTGCATTGATGAACAAAAGTGTGCGAGACGCAAGACAACTCATAGAGGATATGGCACAAAACCATTTCCAATGGTTGGGTGAGTGCTCTTTGCCCAAAAAGAGTGGGTGGTGCGATGTAGATGCATTAGACCACATTGCTTCTAAGCTAGATGCTCTATTTCAGAAATTTGATAAGATGAGCATAAATTTAGTAGCATCTAGTTCTATTAACTGTGAAATATGTGGTATTATTAGACATTCTGCTGTGGAATGTCAGATTAGAAACTTTCCTTCCCCTAATGCACTATTATAAGAACATGTTAATTATATGAATAATTTTAATCAGAAAGGGGATCTATTTTTCAATACGTACAATCCGGGATGGATAAATCATCCTAACTTATCCTATAAAAATTTACCCCAGAACCCATCCCCTCAATCTCATTTCCGACATCCAGGTTTTCACGCCCCTAGACTCCCTTACCCTAGTCCCCAAAAGTCAAACTTCGAGACCTTGATGGCGAACTTTGTGACATCCCATAATAAACAGAGTGAAGAGTTCAGAAATCAAAATAGGTTCATGAGTGATGCCATTAAGGACCTAGCCTCTAAGGTTGACTCTTTAGCCACCCACAACAAAGTGCTAGAGAATCAGATCACTCAAGTGGCCCAACAATCTAGCTCTTCTTCTAGGTCTTTAGGAATGTTTCCTGGACAACCTGAAACTAACCCCAAGGGAACTATCAATGCCATTATTACACTTAGGAGTGGAAAAGAGTTAGAGGGACCAGTGATGAGGAGTGATTGTGGGGATGTGGTTGATGAGAGTGAGAAGTTAGTGACAAGTGAGAAAGAGCATATTGGTGAGAAGGGGGAGAAGGTTGAGAGATATGTAGCACCTGCACCTTATAAGCCTCCACTACCCTTTCCTCAAAGACAGGCTAAGGCGAGGTTGGAAAAATAATTTGGAAAATTCATAGAAATCTTAACAAAAAATTGCACATTAACATCCCATTCGTTGAGGCCATCTCTCAAATGCCCTCCTATACTAAATTCTTAAAGGAGATTCTATCAAATAAGAGACGATTAGAGGAATATGAGACTATAGCATTGACCCAGGAGTGTAGTGACATCATTCAAAATAAGTTACCACCTAAGCTTAAAGATCCTGGCTCTTTTTCTATTCCTTACACAATTGGTGATATATCAATTAATCATGCTCTATGTGATCTTGGTGCTAGTGTCAATCTTATGTCATTGTTTATATGCAAAAAGTTGTAGATGGGAGACTTGAAGCCTACTACTATCTCCCTCTAATTATCAGATCGATCGGTTAAACGTCCGATAGGTATATTAGAAAATGTATCTATCCATGTTGGTAAATTCTATATTCTGGTTGATTTTATTATTCATGAAATTGAGGAGGATTCTCAAATCCTCATCATATTAGGAAGACCTTTCCATGCTACCGCTGGTGCGGTAATTTATGTGAAGAATGTGAAGCTCTCTCTCAATATAGGGGATGAGAAGGTGAATTTTGACTTGTCTTCTGCTATAAAATTTCCACTAATTGATGATACTTGTTGCAGGATTGATATGATTGACGTGTTGGATAGAGAAGACTTTACCATAGATGTCTCAAGTGATCCACTTGAGAAATGCTTAGCAACTAATGGAGCATCTGATGATGATGACAAAGAGATAGTTGCTTATGCTACCATGCTTGATGAAAGCCTTACCTACACCAAAGAACCTGAAGTAGTGGCTGAAATTGGAAAGGTGTTGAGTGACCAGGTTTGTGAAAGGGAAGCTGCACCTAAGATAGAACTAAAACCACTTCCTTCATCACTCAGATATGAATTCTTGGACTCCAATGGTGCATATCTTGTAATTGTGAATGCCAACTTGAGTCATGAATAAGTTGAAAATTTGTTTATTGTCCTAAGTTTGCATAAGGATGCGATAGGTTATTCCATAGACGATATTAAAGACATTAATCCATCCATTTGCATGCATCGAATTTTGTTGGAAGAAGGGTACAAAAGTTCCATTAAACATCAAAGGAGGCTGAACCCGAACATGAAAGAGGTACTAAAATTACTTGATGCGGGGATCATCTATCCTATCTCAGATAGTGAATGGGTGAGCTCGGTGTAAGTAGTGCCTAAGAAGATAGGTATGACCATTGTCCAAAATGAAAAGAATGAGCTAATTCCCACTAGAATAGTCACATGTTGGCACATGTGCATTGATTATTGAAAACTAATAAAGCCACCCGAAAAGATCATTTTCCCCTCCCTTTTATCGACCAAATGTTAGAGAGGTTGGCTAGGTATTCTCATTTCTGTTATCTAGATGGGTATTCGGGATTCTTTCAAATCCCAATTCACCCTAGCGATCAAGAGAAGACGACGTTCACATGTCCATACAGCACCTTTGCTTATAGGAGAATGTCATTTGGCTTGTGTAATACCCTTGTCACTTTTCAACGATGTATGATGACCATATTTTCTGATTTTATTGAGAACATTATGGAGGTTTTTATGGATGACTTTTCAGTTTATGGCATTTCTTTTGATGACTATTTGCATAACCTTCCTAAGGTTTTAAAAAGATGTAAAGAAATGAACCTTGTGTTGAATTGGGAGAAGTGTCATTTTATGATATAAGAAGGAATTGTTTTAGGTCATTTAATCTCTAATCGGGGTATTGAAGTGGATAGGGCTAAAATTGATATCATTGCTAATATGCCACCACCGATTCATGTCAAAGGAGATAGGAGTTTCTTAGGTCATGCGGGGTTTTATAGGCATTTTATTAAAGATTTTTCTAAGATTGCCAAACCCTTGACCCATTTTCTTGTTAAAGATTTTCCTTTTGCATTTGATCAATCTTGTTTTGATGCTTTTGAAAGGTTAAAGGAAGCTTTGACAACCGCCCCACTTATGAGACCACCTGATTGGAATATTCCATTCGAGGTTATGTGTGATGCAAGTGACTATGCTATCGGGGTTGTTCTTGGACAAAGGAAAGAAGGGGAAGGAAAGAAGGGGAAGTATACGCCATATACTATGCCAGTGGAACATTGGATGATGCTCAAATGAACTATGCCACAACGGAGAAGGACATTTTAACCGTTGTATTAGTCTTGGATAAGTTCCGGTCATACCTTGTTGGGTCGAAGGTCATAGTATTCATAGATCACGCAGCTTTGAAGTACCTCATGGTGAAAAAGGATGCAAAGCCACAATTGATAAGATGGATCCTTCTATTACAGGAATTTGATCTCGAGATAAAGGACAAGAGGGGCACCGATAATGTGGTAGCCGATCACCTCTCTAGACTTAGGTAAGAAATGGATCAAGGTGAAGGTGAAGAGGAGCCATTTGATGACTCATTCCCGAATAACAACCTGTTTGCTATAACAAGTCTCCGAGCTCCTTGGTTCACAGATTTTGTGAACAATACTGCTTGTGGGGTGTTGCCACCTGATTTGTCATACCAACAATGCAAGAAATTCTTTTCGGATATCAAGAACTACTACTGGGATGATCCTTGTCTCTATAAGTGCTGTGCAGATGAGGTATTTAGAAGGTGCCTGCCTGAGGAGGAAGTATTAGGTGTCATCTCCCACTACCACTCTTCACCATATAGAGGTCATGCTAGTACCTCTAAGACTGCTGCTAAGATGTTGCAATCTGGGTTCTATTAGCCTTCACTTTTCAAAGACGTGAGGACTTTCATGCTTAGTTGTGACCGTTGTCAATGGACAGGAAACATCTGAAGAAGGAATGAGATGCCACTGAATAGCATATTTGAAGTTGAACTCTTCAATATGTGGGGGATTGACTTCATGGGACCTTTTCCATCATCACGCAACAACAAGTATATATTAGTAGCAGCGGATTACGTCTCAAAATAGGCTGAAGCATTAGCATCTCCAACTAATAACGTGAAAGTGGTGGTCAAGCTATTTCAAAGGATCATTTTCCCTCGATTTGGTGTCCCGAGAGCAATAATCAGTGATGGAGGATCCTACTTTGCAAACAAGGTCCTAAGTACACTTTTGAGGAAATACGAGGTAACTCACAAAATGGCTACACCATATCATCCTCAAACAAGTGGTCAAGTGAAGATCACTAATCGAGAAATCAATGGGATCTTAGACAAGACGGTATTTCGTTCAAGAAAGGATTGGTCTATAAAGTTAGATGACCTTCTTTGGGCATATCAGACGGCTTATAAGACTCCTATTAGTATGGGGTCATTCAGGTTGGTTTATGGGAAATCATGTCATTTACTAGTTGAGGTGGAACATAAGGCACATTGGGCTATCAAGAGCATTCATTTGGATTTAAAAGAAGAAGGAGAACAGAGAAAGCTCTAGCTCAATGAGCTTGATGAACTGAGGTTGGATGTGTATGAGAATGCCAAGATTTACAAGGAAAGAACAAAGAAGTGGCATGATCAACATATCCTCCGTAAAGAGTTTACAAAAGGGGCATGGTACTTTTATTTAATTCTCGACTCAAGCTTTTCCCAAGCAAACTTCGTTCAAGATGGTCAGGGCCATTCAAAGTATGAAAGGTTTACCCATTTGGCCCTGTCGAAGTATGGAGTGAGGCCACAGGAACTTTCATGGTCAATGGGCAGAGGTTAAAGCATTATGTCACAGGTTCTCCGATCAAGAAGTTGGGTACTTTTAACCTTCCTAATCCATCATCATTGTGAGCATTGAAGGGGTCAAGCTCATGACAATTAAACAAGTGCTTATTGGGAGGCAACCCAAGCTTTTCTTTCACTTTATTTTTCTTTCTAGTGTTTGATTTTAATTGTTACTTCTTATGACATGTAATCAGGTGTGTAGGTGGATGACATGAGAAAAATGGGTAGCAAAGTGTTCTGTTATTGTTAAGGCCCAAAAGGAGAGGACAGAGGAAAAATGCTGAATAATGATTCTACATAACCTGGGTATGTCCATGGACACAGTCGTGTAGCCGTCGGGCGTCAGTCTTCATTTCCTTGGTTCTGCCTCAAGCCCATGGACACTTGTCAACATTCCTCCCTTTATTTTGTTCTCATCTCCCCAAAACTCACCACTTTCACCTCACCCTCTCACTTTCCCAAATTCCACCATTTCCACTTCTCATCTCTCACCCCTCACCTCAACCAACACTACCTACGTCCTACCTTTCCCCTCCGATCGTTGATCTTGCTGTCCACATCACCGTCCACCTCAATGAGTAGTGAGTCTCTTTTCTCTTCCTCTTTTCAATTATTTACACATAGGGGACAATGTGTGATTCAAGCACGGAATGATGTTTCATGTCTTTTATGTATGTTTTGGTGTGTACTACTGTTTGCAACCCTCTCAACACGTACACCTTTGATTTCACTTGCCCCATTGTTAGATCAAAAATCTCTGTTTCATGTCCAGTTGGTTAGGATGTCATCTGTTCGAGTTCCAATTCGCCCATACTTGACTCTAGACATAGGAATAGATAGGAATGGCTTTTAGCTTAATCCATTTAATTAGTACCTAGGCTCCTTTGGTGACTTGGACTACTTTTTAGTTACTGGAGAAACACTCGGCCTTGTAAAAAAGATCCTAAACTTTGTTGCACCGAGTACCTGGTACTGCACCCTCAGAAGTATGGTTGTCACGTCAGTAGCTGTTAATTATGATGGGATCTTCACAAAAAAACAATTTGCAAGGAAATCAAGTGCTCCTTTGAGACCTTAAGTAGGAAAAGTATGACCCATGTGTGATGAGATATGTGTCTGTCACGAGGAGTTTTGGGGAATCAACTAAAAAAAGAGTTTCTACCATACCATTATTCCAATGTTTATAAGTCAAGTCACTTACACTAACGTACGGAACACCTACAGATGCATTCTTTTCAACTTTATACATGAGACGAGATTTTTGTTTTGACTTTGGGCCGAATGAAATGATGATGCATGTGAATTTGAGTCTAGTGGATGCTTCTGTGCTTATTTGATATCTCCGTTGTCATTTCTATGAATTGTGTCCTCTTGTGTGTGTGTTTCCATCTTTTTTGCTTGAGGACAAGCAATAGTTCAAGCATGAGGGAGTTGATAAACATGAATATTTTCTATCTTTTGACTATGTTTCACCTCCGATTTCTTGTTATTTTATATGATTTTCTTATGTTTTGGCCCTGTTTAGCTCTCTTGTTCTAGTTTACTACTCTTTTTGTGTATTGTGTAGGAAACATTAGAGCTAAGCACAGATTCGGAGCCAAGAAGGACTCAAGGAATACATGAAAAAATGCTACACAGTCCCCTAGTGTCCAACAACACCGGAGTGTTGAAGTGCAGAAGAGTAACCAACAGGAACAGAGCAACAAAGCTGAACACGGCCTGACCATGTTGATCTACATGACCGTGTTGGATGTCAACATTCAGTTTCTCACACGATCTTAAAAGATTTGACGGTTATTATCAGTTAAGATATCTTTTCCAGACTTTAAAAGGACGTCTGGAGGTATCTGAGAGAGGACGGCTGGCTGGAGATTTTTCTTTTTTTTTTCTTTCTTATTTCTTTCCCCATCTTTCTACAATTCTTAGTTTAGGACTTCTTTTGATTTGTAATCTGCTAGTTGTGGGGAATTGTGTCTAACATCTTGACTTCGACACTACGGTTTATTTTTCTAATATATCTTGTTTTATGGTTTACAATTATGATCTTATACATTGTCATCATGTTTCCTACTCCATTTACGTGTGAGTAATCATTTTTTCTAGGATTGAATTAGGTTCGACTATGGTTGTGAATCGATGAATTGACTTTGTTGTTATCGCTAACCATTTGATTCACATTATTCAATTACTAGTATCTGATTGCTTAAGGTTAATTCAAGTGGCCACAAATTTGACCCATTTAGGATGTTAATTTGTACTGAAAGGTTAAATTAACGTCGGTAAATAGTAATTGAATGGGAATTGATTAATCATGAAAGTAGAATAATGATTCTCGGGAACATAAGGGACTAATGTGAACTTAATGAGTTTAATTTAGTTCAGCACCATGAAAATAGGTTGTTGGACTGAATTAGGCATGTTTAGTCGTCGAAAGAGGCTAATAGTTATCATAGGTTAATCGTTCCTAATGAATTGAGCGGTTCGATAACGATTGATTAATTTGTTGATTCAAACCATAGTTGAAACCGAAGTTCGATCCTAGATTCTTTTAATTGAGTGAATCCGCTGTTGATACTAACAAGTACATTCATTATTTTTCTATCATTACAACCAAACCTCCTAATACGATTGGTTTAGATAGTCAGTAATTAACAATGAAGTCCCTGAGGATACGATCTTGTATGGCTACAACGATATCCGTGCACTTGCGAATTTGGGCGATCACAAGTCAAGAAAATCGACTGAATCCCCTAAAACTTTTGAGTTGTTCATAAAACCCACATAACATTCAAAGTTTTTCAACTTACCCCTAAATGACATAAACCCCTAATTTTCAGCACTATTTCATAAAACACCAAACTTTGACAATGTTTCAAAATACCCCCATTAACCATTAGTTCAGCATACTAAAAAAGATTAAAGTGTTGTGGAAGTTTTGTGGAAGCCCTAAAAGTTTTAACTTAAGTGCTAAGTTATTCGGACACTTCATTTTGGTTCTCATATCTGTGTTTTTTTTTTCATGTTTGACACTTCTTGGACATTCTTGAGCATTTACACACACATTTTCAAACAATTACTCAATAATATAACATATGCTTAGTTCAAAATACTTTTAATACACTTCTTGAATGTGTTTCTTACACTTTACCTTAAAATTTCAACTCATTAGACTCGCGACATCCTCATTTTAATACAAGCCTAGATTATAAGTATGATTTTAAATGGTGGTTTGAATAACTAGTTAAAAATGAGCAGTTTTTTAATTTATAATCTAATCGATAAAAAAATATAAAAATGGTATGAGGCTTTTTCTCATACGTTTCCAAAAATTTTTGGGGTTACCTTAAAATGCGATAAATTTTATGAGGGTGTTTGTGATCTTTGACTTATTTTGATATTCATGATTTTAGGATTTAGAGATCACCATGATCACCATGAATATTTTGAACCATTATTATAAATGGGGCAAAATGTATTTTCTTAGGCGTGTGTCACTTGCAATCTTGTGTGTATTATAACATTACTTTTAGTTGTGTGTGCACGTGATGCATGCGCGTGCACGTGCTATGTGCGAGGTTGTGGCCTTGAGTTAGCTAGGTTTTGGTTATAGAGTGTGGCAGGCCTCGTGTCACGATTATGGATGCAGGCACATGACTTGACTCGTAGTATCTACAGGAGAATCTAGTCAAATAAATCTTCGTGCACATGACTAAGCCTCATCTACCTAATCTGCATTAAACAAAGGTAAAGAGGTAATTAAGTAGTTAAGATGGGAAAAAATTGATAAAAAATCAACTTTTGGTCAAATTACCTCTACTCAAGGTGATACCGCCAAAAATGATTTGGTATAATGGGACTTCTAAACTAAAGCTCTAACAAAAGGGCAAAACCATAAAGAAAATAACTTACCATCGTTTTGGAGGCTGAAACTATCCAATTGAACAATTTGATCCAAAATTGATTACTCTCCCAACCTAGAGGAAGAAGAAAGAAAGAAAGTCCAAGAAAACACACAACAAACATCAAGGGAGAAAAGAAATGAAGATTAATAAAGATAGAGAGCATCTCGATGAGTAACTCATGACACTGGTAACAGATAGGGAGAGTTAAACCAAAAAAGAAGAAAAATTCACATGTCCAGCATGCCAAAAATATCAGAAAAAATTTGTAAAAGCAGCGCAAGCACACAAGACTGAAATTAAATATCAAAACATGCACGACTATCGAGAAATTACCCTAGAGGGGGTGAATAGGGTATTTGCTAATCTAATCCGATATTAATGCTAAATTAAAACTTATTAAAGAAATATCCTAGCAAGTATGTTATGCAACAAATTATATGCAAGGATAAGTAAATATAAACAATGTGACAATAGGTGATATAAACAATAAGATAAGAATAAGTGCATCAATACCAAACACAAACAATCAATATGATCACAGAGTTCGGTCACCCTCGACCTACGTCTCCGCTCCTCACCCTTGAAGAGAATATCCACTAATCTCAAAAACAACTACACAATCGGTTTTCTAGCTTACCGGAAACTTTTACAACTCTCACAATGCAATCACACAACACACCCTCTAAGTGTTGGTCTTGCTGTCAAAACAGAGATATAAAAAATATAAAACAAATTTAAAAGTTAGAAAATTCAGGCCTGATTGGGAGCAGTCGTGATATCACTGCCCTAGAAGATTAAGGACCCGCCTATCGCCCTGGCGCAGTTTGTCCTCTCTCCCCTAGCGGTAAAAACCCCCGGAATCGGCCGGCCTCTGCACTCGGGCGTGAGTCACAGAGCTTATGCTCAGACGAAAACGGTTGCCCAGTAAATAAAAAGTAGCCGAAATTTCTTGGAGGTAAGAGAGTAGAGAAGAGAAGAGAGTTTAGAAAGTGTTCCTCTTCGTTGCCGAAATTTCTTGGAGGTAAGAGAGTAGAGAAGAGAAGAGAGTTTAGAAAGTGTTCCTCTTCGTTGGTATGTTTCTGAATGAGCTCCAAGTCTCTTTTTATAGGTGATGAAAGGTGTAACCCCCGCTGAATCCAAGGGACCGTTACGCACGGTTATTGCTTCCGTTACTCGTATGCACCCGTTACAAAACGTGTAAAACGTGCAAAAATAAAAGCTTGAGAAGCAAAAGGGTGTGTGGCTGCGGCCGGGCGAGGCGGTGCGTGCGCGCGCGCGTGTGTGGTAGAAATGCAAAGCCCACAAAACCCAAAATACTATTCAAAGCCCAATAAGGAGAGAACCAATATATACCCTTTACTATTCATCTCATTTTTCGATGTGGGACTATTCACAAAGACAAAATTGCCTTTTCATGAATAAAGCTTCCAACAGTCCCCCCCAAAAGGCAATATTGACTGAAAATTCAAAATTAATAAATCAATAAACAAATCACAAAATAAATATAGGTTGGGCAACCTTTCGTATCGTGAATTCGGGAAAGGTAGCTTTCGGCTTTGAACCTTTCCTTAGTGAGTTCATCACCACCTGAGGGACATAATGGACTAGGCCTTGAATTAGGGCCCTTGGATCAGGTATTGATAAAAACACACACAATACGCTTCATCTATTGAGCAAAGCGGGTTGAGCGTTAAAGGCCATGCTCACAATAAACCGACTCATGAGAGTTTCTAGGGGTTAGCCCAGCCCCCCCTAACCGCGGCCATCACGGTTCCTCTCACGTAGGTAAGTCCTCAAAGGGTACTACAGCTGTTTATTTAATACCCCCCACAATACACGCGTTGGACTTATTAAGAGTAAAACTCAGCCTAGCCAGCTGTATCATAAGAGCATCGTCATCATAGAGAAGGGGTAGTAGCAAATGCTACATAATGATATATAAATATATCTAGGTCGATGCTCCACACGAGAGTCACTTGTCCAGCTTGTTTCTACCACATTGAACCGACATTGGGACTACGTCTCCAAATAAGGGTTGGGTTGCCGCTGTCAGTGACCTCATTTATGGGCTTAACCCCATCTCCCTCGATGAATCCAGAACCACACTCCTGGATAATCCCTTAGTCAAAGGGTCAGCAAGATTTTTCTCAGACTTTACAAAGTCCAAGATCACAACTTTGCCTAACAGGCGTTGTACAAACTTATATCTTATTTGAATATGTCTGTTATGTTTTTTATTTACATGTACTTGCTTTAGAAGCTCTATGGTAGATCTAGAATCAGAGTGAATGGAAATAGGAGGAGAGGGTTTAGGGACCAAAGGAAGTTCAAAGAGAAGATCTTTTAACCATTCGGCTTCTGTGCAAGTAGTATCAAGAGCAATTAGCTCAGATTCCATGGTGCTCCTGGAAATTATTGTTTGCTTACATGATTTCCAGGATACAGCAGTACCACTAAAAAGAAATACATATCCAGATGTAGACTTTACACTGTTGGAATCCGTGACCCATTTGGCATCACTATACCCTTCTATAGCATCAGGGTAACCAGTGTAAGTCAAGCAATAGTCAATTGTGCCTTTTAGATATTTGAATACTCTTTCTAAGGCAGTCCAATGATCTTTGCTACGATTGCTAGTATACCGACTCAGTCTCCCTACAGCATAAGCTATATCGGGTCTGGTTCGGTTGGATATGTAAAGAAGAGATCCAATCATTTGAGAATATTCTAGTTGGGAGACAGGTTCACCTTCATTCTTCTTCAAGGGTATAGAAGAATCATAAGGTGTGGAAACAGGTTTAGAGTTATGAAAGTTGAATTTGATTAGCATTTTATCAATGCTATGGGAAAGACTCAAAGATATTCCTGTAGTGTCTCTAGAGATTTTCATCCCAAGTATCATGTATGCAAGACCTAAGTCTTTCATATCAAAGTTTTTGGAAAGATAATCCTTAACCTTTGAAATTAATTCAAGTGTTGTTCCAAAGATAAGGATATCATCAACATAGAGACAGAGAATGACATAGCCATTGTTTATCACTTTAGAATAGACACATTTATCGTATTCATTCACAGTGAAGCCATATTGTG